CAAAATTTCCAGAGTGATCCTCCACGACTAAGAATCAAACGCTACCTTGCTTGATCGCGAAGGGGAGCTGCAAGTAATCGAAAGCCTCGAGGCGCAGCTCGGCATTCTCCAGCAGCGCCACGCCTAAAACAACCAAAGCTTTAGATCGGGAAGAAGAATCGCTCTCACCGCTCCACAGGCCGATGCGGAACTGCTCGCGATGGATATCTTTGATGTAATTGCCCAGATATCCTGCCACCAGAGAGAAGACCCATCCCTCAAACATCGCCCTGCGCTAGGAGAGCGCAGCAATACCATAAGCCCTAATCATCAAAATATTTCTTAGGGCAAAGTTTCTATGAACAATGGACAATTTCTTTTCTTTGGCAAATATCATTTCCATTCGCTAAACAAAATTAGCAATTCACGGCCTTTAGGAGAAGACACTATCTATGATTTCATGATTGGATTGGAGTGAGAAAAGCTTGTAAGTGCTTGTTGAATTCCTTGGGCCTTTCCACTTGTGGAACGTGTCCTGTCTTTTCAATCACAACCAGCGTCGCATTCTCGCCCAGGTGTCTGAAAAGAAGAGCAAGTGAGATCCAAGAACTGTAAGGAAATAGATGCTCGATTAGCAATCAATCAATCACTCACGCTTTCAGCTGCTTGGCGAGCTCCAGATCGAAGATCCGGTCGTGCGATCCCACGAGAATCAAGACCTCCTGTTCCAAGAAACTTCTGTCAGTGTTAGAGAAATCCTTTCCAAGAGAGTGCCCTTGCCTGTGAAAGCTTTGGCAGCGGCTGCGCGGCTTCGGTGCCGATAACCAGGCCGTCGAGGAGCTCAATCCTCTCCTTCCTGTTGCCGCCATACACCTGGATCCAAGCACAGTCAACGCGCGGTCAGCAAGAGTCAATAAGGATTCAACGCGAGAGCCTTTACCTCCATGAGATCCTGGACCAAGCAATCTGGGAGCCACAGGCGCTTGTAGAGGCAAAGCTGGATGCTTTTCTTCTGGACCGCGACGGAGGTGGGCATGAGGACCTCGTGGATGTGCCTGGCCTGGAACGCGTCCAGGGTCGCATCGTTGCTGTGGGGATCCATGCAAACGCCCGAGCTCGCGATCACTACCTTCTTGACGCGCGCCGGATCCAGCTCCGCCATCCGGAACGCCACAAATCCGCCGTAGCTCGTCCCCGCCACCGCCGCCCCGTCGACGCCCTCCGCCTCGAGGATTTCGAGCATACAGCGCGCCTGGAAGAACTCGGACCGCGCGCGCTCGTCGCTGGTGGTCGATCCGCCAAAGAAGACGAGATCGGGCACGTAGAGCGCGAAATTTCGGGACAGCTCGGACAGCTGATGCTCCCACCCGGCGATCCCGTTGGCCGCGAAGCCGTGGACGAGCATGAGCGGCGGCTTGGAGGGATCGTAGCCCGGGCTCGCGCGATCGGGCACCCAGCAGCGCATCACCGTGGCGGAATCGCGCAGGGTGAACGTCTTTTCGATCAATCCCAGGCGCCGGCACCGCTTTTCCAGCCGTCGTAGCATCGATCGAACAAGCGAGAAGCCGAAGCACGCCATTGCCCTATAATTCCTTTGTCCGAGAACCCTTTAAATACATTGTGAAGCACAGAATATGCTTATTTCGGGCGAAGAATATGCTTGTAGGGTTAGGTCAAGTTCGCTCAATTTGGATCTACTTTTTCTAGCTGTTCAAGAAAGTCATTTGCTCCAAGAGTCGAAACTTGGTGTCCGCCATTCCAAGCCATCTCCTCTTAACTCGAACCTGCAAGAAATCCATCCAGGATCTAATCACTGCTGCTAAGATTGAGACAAAACGAAACGAAAACAACGATCGTACTGGAACTGGGAGAAGCTGGCCGACTGCAAACGATGCCTTGATTGGGTCTGATATGGATCCGAGTAAACCAGGGACAGTATCAGCCTGGGATAAACAAAAGCACGATCAAAACGAAGCGTAGCGATTGAAGCAAACCTCGGGTAGCAACTGGCGGCAGCGATCCACGACTTGCTTTGCCAGGTCCAGGAGCTCCTCCGTGTGCTCGCATTCAATATCGTCGAAGAACTCCACCTGTGAAAACTAAAGTTTATAAGGAGCGAAAACTATAAGCGTACCTGTCCGATGTTGAGACCAAAAGAGCCTGGTTGCACCCACATCCTGTGCACAAAGTCCACTCAGTGTTTCAAAAGGGTGTGATCGTAAACGCTTACTTGTCGAAAGGAAGACGAAACCTCTGGACTCCGTGAGCAACGACATAAGATCGGCAATCCTTCTCGAAAAGATACACCTTGAGGTTCTGGCACACGTAACAAAGTGGCATCTGTTAAGATGAAATCCGGAGATTTGACGAAGATGAAATACTCACAGCCATGGTTCCCACTAGCTCTTGCGCAGTTTGCCAGTGCCAGTAGCTGGTAAGTCCGAATGGTTTTCCTTCTTCAACGCAGTGTCGAACCTGGAGGAAGACTAAAATTTCTTAGCACCTGTGTGTCGGAATAGAGAAAAAAGAAAAGAAAGAGACCAGATGCCTGTATCGAGGTTCGTGCATGTGTAACGGCATCGACCATCCTGGAAACAATACCGTGTCCAGCAGTGCGAGAGGCATCTTCACCGAGCTATCGGAGCAATGAGATTCATATGGAGCCGGAGCCGGAGTCGCAGTCGCAGGAACTTCGTACGAGCTCTTAACCTCCACTGACGTTGTGGTGCAAGAATTGCTACCGTTGGTAACCTTCAGAGCGTTATCCTGTTCTGAGCTCCCCGACGCTCTAGCACCACCAGCCTGAGTCTGGACTTTACTGTGCCTAAGCAAGTAAGTATGTAACCGCTTAAGAAGCGAGCCGGGATCCACAGGAGCTGATCGCGGGCTGGTGTGCCGCTCCGCAGCTGCGTTCTTTGGGAAAAAGAGAGAGTTGCTAATAGCGTTACTGTAAGCAAGGAAAAGAAACGGTTAGTACCATGTAGCTGGCAGTAAAATTCATACAAACCATACTCAAAAAAGTTATGACCGGAAATTCGTGCCATTCCTAATGTCATACGAAGAAATTCCGTAAAAGCATCCATCGGTAGCTTTCTCTGATCATCTGCATCAAGAAATCAGTAAACAAAAATTATACACGTATAGGAGCGTACCATCAGACGAAAGTGACAAGCCAACAACACCAGCAGTGAGATGCCCCGTTCCAGCAAACAGTGGTCTTAAGCTGTTTATGATCTTTGGCCTTGGGACCTTTGGGCTAGTATACAGAGGAGCCAAAAATGCGCCTGCTCTGCAACCTGGACAATAACATTAGCCATCGTTGTTCGCTGCACGGAAACACTCTCACCTGCAACTTTCGGGAAACATCACGGACAAACGCTGTACAAACTCTGGGTAAGGATATCCTGAATACGTACATGGAAAAAGTTAGCCAGGGAAAAGCAAACATTACAGTTACCTGGAGCGCCTAGTAAAATCATGTGAGGATTGTTTCGAACGATCGCAGCTTCCATATCTGGCAGATTGGGAAGACCCGTTGTAGTTGTATGGAAAGCTGTGGCTTTTGCCCCGGGCAGATATGCCACACACAAAATCATCCGATAACCATCGTCTATGGCGGCCACGGACTCGTCACTCATTGGTGAGGCCTGGCTTGTGGTACCGCTGGAAGCTCCTCGAGACACTCCACCTGGACCATCCTCGGCGACAGCTTCCGAAACTACAATCCTCTCAACGTCTGGCACGGCACTTGTGTTCCCTGGACCGGATGATTTCGTGTTGAGAGACGCCCCACCGCTTCTCTCTTCTTCCTTCTCCAATGCTAGTTCTCCATTCTTACTTTCTAAATCCTTCTCCATCTTCTTACACTGAAGCGCCTGCTCTTCGGACTTTCCGACTTCTTCAGGAACTTTCGCATTGCCAGCTACAACATCCGTCACGCTAGAAGCCTTGAGTTCCTTGTCCAAAGCAACTAGATCTTCGTTGTCCGGAACCACGCCGGGATTCTCTCGCGTCCACCGGGCACAGTCGCCAACAAGAGCTTTGAAATCTTCCACTGTATCCTCGTCCGGAAACGCGCTAGCAGCTCTCAATGTGAGACCACCCTCATGATCTTGCTTGACAGCCAGAGCTCTCACATCGCCATCCCCAGCAACGTCCACACCAGCAGCCTTGTACCCGGAAGAACTGGAAACCGAAGGAGCACCGAGCTTCTTCTCGGCACCACCGCCTCCTGGGCTTGTAGCAGCCGGAGCAGCGACGTTCCATAGATCCGCCACGCAACCAATGAATGGAGCAGCGATCTTTGCTGGAGCACTACCACCTTGTGCTGTTAAAACCTCCGAAAATGATCGTCCCAGTTCTTCCAGAGCTGCCGCGGATGATGGATTGTGCTTGGAAACAAATGCCACGGCGAGAGTGGGGGCATTTGTCCCGACGAGCGAGCAAGCTTGCGACCAGGCCGGCAATGCAGACTGGCCCTTGTCGCTATTGACAACCACGGTCGCGAAGTTGAAGATCCTTCCATCGGCATCAACCTGGCTGCGGTAGAAATTTCCAGCGACTGGAGCATCGCATTCCCCTGTGGCGATCGATGAGCTCCACCGCAGGCTTACCCTAGCTTGAAAATCTGGAAATACTTTCCTGCCTCTGCCGCCACTGTGCCGGTTCGATCGAGCTCTCAGCAAAGACGCAGCTGAGAATCCCCCGCGATGCAACATTTCCCTCGCGCAATCTGGCGCTGGAAGGCGATATTTCATCGATCGAGGAAAGGAGGAAGCGCTTACCGCCCTAGCGACAAGGCGCTCGTCGAGCGCCTTGAGCGCCTTCTGCCCTAACCATTACCCCCCTTCCTCGCTTCACACAAGATTTTAATTTCCTTGGATCCAATCCTAGGTTGCGCGGGAAGAATGAAAGGAGAGATCCTTGTGACAATCCAAAGATCTTGCTCTCTAGATTCCAGTCGACAATGCAAGAGTTCTAGAACTAGAATCTCTTCCAGAATTTCTTCCTTTCTAGATGAGGAGGTTCCAATTGCTAGGGAATGAGAATCGATGCCCTCGCGAGCAGTCTACGATCGTGCTGCGCGGCCAGGAATTTGCTCCAGGGAAGAAAGATCCACGCGCTCATCCTCGAGCGCGGCCTCGAGGATCTCCACCTCCACAACCTCCTCGTCCAGATGTATGGCAAATGCGGCAGCGTCCACGACGCCCACGCCTCCTTCTCCCAGATCAAGAACCCTAATCTTTTCTCGTGGAGCACGCTACTCGTGGCATTTGCCCAGAATGGGTATCTGGAGGAGGCCAAAGGGGCATTCGATCGAATGCCACAGCGCGACGTTGTGGCGTGGAATTCGATCCTGGGCGCCTACGCCCAGAACGGGCAATCGCTTGAAGCTGAGAGATTCTACGAGAGAATGCCTGGGCGAGACGTGATCTCCGCGAATTCGATCGTCTCGGCGTTTGCCAGGAGCGGCGATCCGGCCGGCGCGTGGAGGGCCTTCGAGGGCGCCGCGCGGCGCGACGTCGCGCTGTGGACGTCCATGGCGCAGGCGCGCGCCGCGAGAGGGCAGCTCGATCTGGCACTGGAGACGCTCCATCGCATGGCGCGGTGGAACGTCTTCTCCAGCACGGTGATGATCGCAGCGCTGGGAAGGAGCGGCGATTTGGAAGCCGCGAGGGAAGCGTTTGATGCCATGGGCGAGCGCAATGCAGTGGCATGGAACGCGCTGCTCACCGCCTACGCGGATGCGGCGCGGATGGACGCGGTGGGGGAGGTCTTTGCCCGGATGCCGCAGCGGGATACCGTGCTGCATACCGCGCTGCTCGTGGCGTATGCCCAGGCCGGGCATCTCCACGACGCACGGGAGCTCTTCCACGGCATGCCGCAGCGTGACGTCGTGTGCTGGAACGCCATGCTGGCATCGTCTGCGCGGTACCGCCATCTACCGGCGGCACGGGAGTTCTTCCGCCGGATGCCGCAGTGGAGCGTCACGAGCTGGAATTCGTTCTTTACCGCCAGTGCCCAGAGCGGGCATTTGGATCACGCGAAAGAGCTCTTCGACGCCATGCCCGGGAAGAATCTAGTGTCTTGGAACGCCCTACTGGCAGCGTTTGCGCGGAATGGACACGCCCATGACGCGCGATTGATCTTCGATTCCATGGAGGAGAGAAATCGCGTGAGCTGGAACGCGGTGATCGCCGCGCATGCCCACAGCGGGCATGGCGAGGAGGTTCTAGGGCTCTTCCGGGCGATGGTGCTCGAGGGCGTGGATCCGGACGAGGCATCGTTCGCGAGCTTGATGCTGGGATTCAATCACCTGGGGATGGTGGGCGTTAGCCGCGAGCATCTGGTGGCCATGCGCGAGGATTTTGGAGTGGCGCCAGGGAGGGATCACTACTGCTGCGTCGCGGATGGATTGGGGAAGAGTGGGCGATTGGGTGAGGCGGAGGAGCTGATCAGGACGATGCCGTTTAGCGCGGATGGATTGGCGTGGGGGAGCCTTGTGGCTGCCGGATTGATCTGCTTGGAGACGGAGTATGCCACTCGCGCCGCTCAGCAAGCAGTGGATCTAGATCCCAGGGATAGTGGCAACTTTGTGCTTTTGTCAAACGCTCATGCTAGCTAGTGCTCTGTGTATTCTCATTGGCCAACTAGTGTTTGGTTAACTGATACTGTGGATTTTTTTCGTTCCTCTTTGGTTCCACCAGAGTTTTCTCTTCTATTTCCACAAAAGATTGGATCCATTGATCATTGGAGGAGTGTGCTTTGGTGTGAAGTTGGCTAGCCAACAATGAAAAAGATTTTGCTTTGAAAAGTCAATTTTCCCACACTATATAAACGCATGTTAGAACTAGCCTATTCACTTCAAAGTTTTTTTTTCTTCCAGTCAGAGTACAATGGCTTCCAAACTTGTTTTGGTCTCAATTCTTACTGTTGCTCTCTTTGCTTTTGCATCTGCCACTATAACGAAGGTTGTACAGTTATATGTTAGGAGCATGATCTTGATATAATGGTTTCTTCTTTTCTTTTCCAGTGCAATACCTTCACCATCCAAGGATCAGCCCAGTTTGTTTTCGGGCAAAACGAGTTTCAAGTTGTTCCGAGTGATGGTGTCGGGGATCGAGATGGATCCGTCCAAACGTTTGCAGCTCCTTTGACTGGAAACTCGGGATGCATCTACCAAGGAATAATCGCCGACACCGGCAGTCTGGATTTCCAGGTCTCCCAGATCAAGTGTGGCAATGATCGGGTGGAGTTCATGGGTGACGCTGGAAGTTCCACCCAAGGCTCTTCAACCACGTATGCGATTGTTGGTGGTACTGGCAAATATGTTGGAGCCACTGGAACTGTGACAGAAGTTTCACTGGGTGGTATGAACTATCAAGTCACTGCTAATATCAAAGTTTGCAACTAGAGAGATTTGAAGAATGTAATAAAGCTCCACTTTTAGTGGGTAAATCAAAATCATGTTTCACGTATTATAATCATGGGATGATAATTAGATAGTGATAATTTTTTTGGTATTTTATTGTTCATGAAGGACACAATAACTGGTCAGACACAAACCCTCCTGGGTGCTTGATACCTATCGGTCCCACTCTGAGTGGCAGAAATTGGGACATATTTTGATGTAGATTGTGAGATGAATGCAATCTCGCATGAATCAGACTGAGCAGCGCTAGAGATTTAAGAATGATGCAAGAAGCAGCAGCTTCCTAGTGGAAGACAAGAAGATTTTCAAGAAAATGAAAAAGCACAATATGGTTTGGACCAGACTGATTATTATTATATATAAATGCTTTAACTGGTACACATTCTTCTTATATTATTGATTTGATTAAAAACTTTAATTCATATTATGAATTCATAATCCAAAATAAACCATCTTGCATTTTCTTATTTAAATCAAATAATGATTGTGTGGAAATTTATTTTTAATAATTTGATTGTATACACAATTACCATGCAAAGTAGTAAGTTTTTTTAAAAAAATTCTGCACTATATAGCAATGCTTTGGTTCTTTTTACATAAATGAATATGTAAAGAAATTATTTTGTGCAAATAGATTTTAACAACCCCTCGAAAAGCAATTGGAAACCAAAAGTTAGAAAACCAAAAAATTTGAGCACGTAAAGAGAGTTTTTTACTGCTTCTCAAAGCTTTACTATTCATCTTGGATATTTACTTCCACAGATTTATGAGTAAACAAAACATTACATAAGCACAATGTCTGCTGCAAAAGTTTAACGGTAATGACACTTTTATTTCCAGCCTAGATTAAAGAATATCCCAGAATAGTCTTAAATAGGATATTTGTCCATGTGGCATTTGACAACACCCAAATGACTGTCAATGATTCAAACATCCTACAGTTTTTCTCGTACTATCACTCGCTTGGATCCAAGGCAACCTCAGAAGAATAGGAGCTCATTTTCTTCCATGGTGCCATGGTGTAACAATTGGAAGGAAGTAATTGTGAATAGTAATTTTTCTTTTTAGACTTTTTCTATGAAGTGCACCTTTACATAGTTCTTTTAGGAAGAAAGTATGGTTAATATCCTCCAACTTGAGCTTTTAAGGAAAACCTTCACGTGTGGCTGCACAAATATGCATGTGTTGTGAGAGACAAATCCCTAAGCCCCAAAGTGGAGTTAAAAAGGTGCTACATGGTAGTGGTCGAAGTAGAAGTCCAACAAGTGTAACATATTTGGATCAAAGGCTCTGATTTGGAAAGTAAAAAATGGGAGTTAAACTCCGAATGAAATGCTTAAGGGATGAGCACGAAACAATCGATGAATGAGTCTTTAAAAAAGGACATAAGAAAGACTGACACAAGGGTAGGGGGGAGGGAGGGGGACGGGGATGGGGAGGGGTAAAGGGAGGCTGTATTTCATTCTTGCTTAGAGATCTAGATGATGCTTTTCTCATAGATTTTATAGGGCAAACTGCAGTTAGGAGGGGTGATACTTCACCTCCAAATGTGCAAGAGGATGCTTCACTACCACACAAGAGGATATAGCTAGGTGCTTTTAGTAGTGAGAAGTGTAAGCAACCAAAAGGAACGACTCAAAAGACAATCCATAAGGTTCAAATATAGAAGGAAAAGGCCCATAAATAAAAGTGCACTCTCTTTTCCAATTGGTTAAGGGTCTTGGGATATTTGGGGTTAAATGTCCTTGGGTTTGAATAGTACTGGGTTGGATGACCTCTCGAAAGTCCAAATTTAAGAATTTACATTTGGTATCAGAGGGGTTTCGGGTCCGACTCTGTTGGTTGGCTAAGGGAATCACACCACATGTTGATTGACATCTGGCTGGTCCAGTTTGCTGGGCTCGACCCGAGGGGTAGCTGTGGCTCTCAGCTTCCGTTCACGAGGGCGTGAACTTGCAGGGAAGCATGGTAGATTGTAAGCAACCAAAGAGAACGACTCGAAAGACGATCCATAGGATTCAAATATAGAGGGAAAGGGCCCATGAATAAGAGTGCACCCTGTTTTCCAATTGGTTAAAGGTCTTGGGATATTTGGGGTTAAACCTCCTTAGGTTTGAATAGTACTGGGCTAGGTGACCTCCCGGGAAGTCCAAACTCAAGAGCTTACAAGAAGGTGCTAAATTTCTTTTGTATAATCTTACATATGGTGACTATTATACATTGACTACACGCTAAAGTATGTCATCCAACGAAAGCCTGTCAAAGTGCTCTTTGATGATTCTCATCGAAAGTCATTTATTACTACACAAGTAGTACTATGGTGTCTAGATACTCTCCTAGAGTATAGCACAATGAGCTTCTTGACAAATAACCAACTGCTAAGGGAGTTTGCTATGTAAGATAGTTCAGTTTTACTTAGCTATAATGAATGCTTTTATAGATTTGCAATGCCTTCTAACATACATGAGAAATGGAGGAAGTACCTACATGATCAGCAACTCTAAAAACAAACGATCAAAGTCCACAAATAATATATTAAGGAGATGTTTGAAGATTAGCAAATAAGGTTCTTAGACTATAAACATAATTGGGCAAGATCTAACATGAGTCACTTTACGTGTGATTATATGCTCACTCCCTACATAGAAGTCAATCATAGATCTTATACATGGAGGAAGTAACAAATCAAGGGCAATTTAATGATATTGTAGACTATAATAGCTTTCTTAGGTAGGTGTCCTCAAATGTCTGTAAATCCCAATTGGATTTATATTCTAGCAATGTAGAATGGTCCTAATTGTAAGAACTTGAAGGAAGTAATTGTGAATAATAAGTTTTCTTTCTAGACTTTTTTCTGTGAAGTGCAACCTTACATAGTTCTTTTAGGAAGAGAGCATGGTTGATATCTTCCAACTTGAGCGTTTAAGGAAAACCTTTATGTGCAGTTGCACAAATATACATGCGTTGTGAGAAACAAATCTCTAAGCCCTAAAATGGAGCAAAAAAGGTGCCATATGGTAGTGGTCGAAGTGGAAGTTCAACAAGCGTAACATGTTTGGACCAAAGACTCTGACTTGAAAAGTTAAAAGTGAAAGTGGAACTCCGAATGAAGTGCTCAAAGTATGAACACGAAGCAATTGGTGAATGAGTCTCTAAAAAAGGAGACAAGAAAGATTAACACATGACAAATGTTGTGATATATAGAAGTGTCAGAAACAAGTCTGAAAAGGAGTTTGAAAAAGAGTTTGATATGGAGTTTAAGATGGAGTTTGAGATAGACCCAAGATAGAGTCCGAGATGGACCCAAGTTAAAGTCCAAGATGGACCTAAGATCGAGTCCAAGATCGAGTCCAAGATGGACCTAAGATGGAGTTTGAAACCAAAACCAAGACTGAGACATAGTCTAAATCTGAGTCCAAGACCAAGGGTGAAAGCCCAAAGTGTTCATCTCTTGGACAAACTCCAAAAGTATAGTAAGGGGGAAAACTCCAGTAAAGTCAATTTGGCCAAGAAAGGCTAGTGTGACTAGGTTATACCCATATATTGGGTGATGATATAACTATTGAGGAGTTTAAGGTTAGAGTAAATATAGAAAGATAAGTGGGGTAGCTTAATGAAGTGTTCAAGAACTTCCTCGGGAGATTGAATAATTGATGCTTGTAATCAAGTGTGAGTGGCACTACCAACTTAAATACCTTGTGTGGCTTATTGGAACCTTGCTCTAGCCATATGGCTAGGGCACTTAAAGGTAGAAGGTGGGGAGAGTAACTATAAAGTTCGCATAGAGCCATGGTATTTTGAAATATTATTCCAAAGTCCCAAATTATAGAAAGGAAAAGGAGTAACCCTCTAGTATAGTGACCAAGAATACGGTCACATAGTGAGGAAGTCCTAGAGGTCAATGGGATTTAGTAGTCGAGCCTTTAAACCTTGACCCAATGGCAGTGTTGGAGAGCACGGCCGTGGATGGAAAGGGACTTGGTGGGAATGGAAAAAGGGACATTAGGGAAAGGTGTTCTTCATGTCTCTGGGCATCCTAAAAGTTCTAAGATGTGGTCAAAAAATGACCACTCATGGACAAATGGCCTAGTTTTTGAAAAATAAAACTGTGATGCAGGTGGTTTTGGACTATTGATGTGATAAGGGTGAATGGGCATAGCCTTAGCATAATAAGTTGATATGTTAGTGGTACCTTTAGGTGTCGGTCATGGGATTGGACACATGGAGCACTTGGACCAAGTACAAAGGCTAAGTGGCATAGATGGTGTTTATGGTGCTAGCAAGTCCCCAAAGTTTAAAATAAGATTTATAGAGGTTGTGAGTGAGACTCCTTAAAATGGTTAGAAGTGTGGTTAAGTGACTAAAGTAGAATGAAAAAATTAATTACTTCTAACTTGGTATCAAAGCTATTCCTTAGTTTAACTTTTATTAGTGGTCAAATATAACACCACTTATATTGGCATTGGAAGGCCCTAGAAATGGGCCCATCCTCGAGAAGTAGCATGTCAAAAGGGCATGACTCTCCATCTTAGTTCATACATGAACATATTGGCAATATGGTAGATAGAAATGGACTAATAAAGGAATGACTTGGGATCTTGGGAACAGTATAAGGTTTTCCTTAGAGAGTTGAGGATGTGATCCAGATGCATTTGACTTAACGAACTAGCTAATGTGGTTGTGGTGAAAAATTATAGTTAGGATCATGAGAAATATAAAGACTCCAAGATAATAAATAAGATTATTTTCATATAATTGAGGCTAGTGCTCATGAATTTGAAACTAAAATTAATAACCGTGAAATGTCAAATATGGATAAGGAGTCCTTGAAATGGTAGCCGAAGCTACCTTTAATAAATGCTACAACACTACAAAGAGTTGGGTGTGTACTTAGAAGAACACCTCAAAAGTAGGATATTATGGGTTGTCGAATTAATAAAGTCTAAAAGTTGAATGACTCAAGTGGAATCAAGGAATGGTCCTAAAGGATTGGTAGAAGCATTTGGGCTGATGTGTGTGGTACCCTACAAAGGATAGGGAGGATCA